AATTTTGTTTTTTTTTTTTTTTTTTTTTTTTTTTTGAGATATGGTCTAAGTCATTTTAGTCACCCAGGCTGAGCTCAAACTTGCGATCCTCCTCCTTCAGCCTTCCAGAGATTACAAGTGTGTGCCACTATGCCCAGCTCCTGACACCTTGCAGTGGTTCCCTGGTCCAATGTTTCATTTGTTACTAATTCCTCTAACAGACAGAGACCTGACCAGTATCTTGGGGCTATACAGGCCTGAGAAAATCTGAACACAGGCCTGCTTGGGCACTGAGCACCCCTTGGCTGCAGAACCTGGGGATACCAGGGCCATTCAGCATCTGACACCTAGCCTGACCTGCACCCGGAACCTCCTGGACATGCAGACCTCGTGAGGTACCTGGGAAGGCTCCCCAGTGGCCATGTGCCCACCAAGGGAGCTCACTAACCACACACCTGCCAGCCAGGCTCCCAGGTGCCCTAGGCTTTTCCAGGAGGCAGCAGTGAGACCCAGGCCTCAAGGCCATCACTTGGTCCCTGTCTACTTCATTCTGACTGAGGCGGAAGAATGAACTCCACCCCTCAATACCCTGCACTAAAATAGCAGCTCTACGGTCTATGTAGCCAGTGATCTAGCTCCAACTCCTGAACAAACAAGGGATGGAAGGCTCCAGTCAAAAGCTGCCCGGCCAGGTCTTGCTCAGCTGGTGTCTCCCAAAGAGCTGGCTGAGCATCGAGGGCCACTGGAGGCCCAAGTGGGTAAAGAGGCACCTCACGTGGGCCTGGACCCACACGTACAGGGTCAGGAGGAACAGAGCAGACAGGCAGGGATGGGCGAGTCCAAGGCCCCAGGTTTATTGGGTGCTGGGCTGGGGCCCGGGTGGCTATGTGGCGCAGTCCTCAGGGACGGCAGCCGTGATGATGAGTGAGGGCTCCAGGACGCTGGGGCCGGTGAAGCTCTCGGCACAGAGTCTCTGGCTGGGCAGCTGGGGGGCCAGGCCACCCTGGGCCAGGGACTCCACAATGGCCTCGGCCGAGCCCACCTCCAACTCTGTGGGCGGCTGCAGCGCCACCACCACCACCTTCTCATCCTCGATGACCAGGTTGCGGAGCTTGCGCTGCCGCGGGTTGTAGTTCTCCACACGGTCGTGGATCTCCATGTGCCTCCGCAGGTGGGCCTGGGGGAGTGTGGGTCAGGATGGGGACAGACCCAGGGGAGGGGGTGACCGGTGCCCCACCTACCTGCCGTGTGAATTTGTAGCCACACTCAGTGCACTCGAACTTCCGAACCCCCTTGTGCCGCCGGACGTGCACGCGTAACTGCTCCACAGCTGCAGATGACAGGGCCAGCAGCATGAGGACAGGTGGGAAGGCGCCAGGGACCCTGCCTGCCATGATGGCGGCAGGAGGAAACAGCAGGAGACCCTTGGAGCCGGCCCTGCCCGGCTCTCCTGTGCCACTCAGGGTCCCAGCCCCACACAAGGGGCACTCGATCTGCTGCTCAGCAGCACCCCCTGCCCACTGCAGGTACCTTTGAAGGTCTTGCCACAGATCTGGCAGAAGTGGGGCCGGCCCTCCTGGTGGCGGCTGGCCACGTGCCTCAGGAGCGGCCCCTTCTCCGTGAAGCGCTGCTCACAGAACTCGCAGCTGAAGGGCCGCTCACCCGTGTGGGTGCGGTTGTGCTTGTCCAGGCTGGCTGCAGGGACAGGCAGGGCTCAGTCGCTGGCCCTGGCCCTAACCCGGGGCAGGGTGGGCCTGGCCTTACCTTGGGTGCGGAAGGTCTTGCCACAGAGGTGGCACTGGAAGGGCTTCTCGCCTGTGTGTGTGCGCAGGTGCATGTTGAGGTTGGCTTTCTGGGTGAAGGCATGGCTGCAGAACTCGCACACATACGGCCGCTCGTTCCTGTTGGGTGGGGACGTGGAGGGAAGCGGCTCCTTGCACTCTGCTATTGCCATGGGCACACGGAGCAGGAGGGCTGTGTGGTGCCAGGCCCCTCCACTCTAGAGCAGGACGCCATGGCAGGTGAGAGGAGGCATTCACCTTCCCGGCTCTGCCCCCAGCAAGCTCTGCAGAAGTGCCCCCCCGCCCCGTGAATGTGAATGCAGGCAGACACCACCTTCCAAGCCCAGCTGCAGACCGCTGTACACCCCAGCGCACCTGTGCTTGGCCTTGATGTGCATCTGCAGCCCGTTGCGGCTCGAGGCCCGATGCCCACACTCCTCGCACACAAACAGCTTCTCCCCACGGTGCTTGAAGGCCTCATGCAGCTGCAGCTCGGTCCGGGACAGGAAGCACTTGGCACAGGTGGGGCACTGTGGACAGGCGGGGCAGGCAGAGGACAGGCCAGGTAAGGATGGGGCGATGCCTAGGAGCCCCACGGGCTCCAATGCCCATCCCGGACTGTCTCCTTCTGGCCAGCCCCAGCCCACCCGGCACTTACTGCATGGGGCTTGGGGGCTCCATGCAGCTTAATCATGTGGCTCTGCAAGTCCTTCTTCTGCATGAACTGCTGCGAGCAGGAGGAGCACTGCAAAGCGGGCCCCAAGTTACCACGTGAGGGCAGGGCCAGCCCGAGACCAGGTACGGCCCGCCCCCTGTGTGGACGGCCCAGGGGTGCTGAGCCCACCCTCTAGGGAGAGAGCCCGCAAGATGCCCTGGAGGTGAGGTGCTGGCCAGTGGCCCCCAGCACGCAATGTGGAGTCTGTGGACAGTGGGGAGGGAGGCTCCTGACGCCGCCGAAGCCCACAACCCTGGAACCACAAGCCTGACCTTGTAGGGCATCTCCCCCGTGTGCGACACCATGTGCACCCGCAGCTCCATCCTCCGACGGAAGGTCTCCTGGCACACGGAGCATGTGAACACCTGGCAGTGTGAGGGGCAAGCAGGGCCGGCGTCAGCGGGGCTTCTGCCTGCTGCGGCAGCCTCTGCCGGGGTTTCCGCTCGCGGCTGGGAAGTCTGCCTGGGGTGGGGGGCACTAGGGTAGGAGAGGGCGACATGTAACCTGCCTGTCCTGATCGGCATTGAGCAGTGCACATGACCACATGCCAGGCCCTTCTTGGGCCCTGGACCCCCACAGTCCCTGGCCCCAGTTGCCACCAATAGACCTCTGGGAAGAGGGCAGGGTTGAGCTGGACCCCACCCACCCAGGGCGGCAGCAAGGTGCCCAGAAGGCTCTCCAGCAGCCCTCACTGCCCCTGCTCCAATGCCCAAGGTGGGGCTGGGGCAAGCAACCCCAAAATGCCTCCCACAGCATCCCTCCGGGCTTGTCCCTTCTGCCCTCAGGACCTGTGTCCTCCTGTACCAGGGCACAGACTGTATGACATCCCAGGACCCTACTGCTCTTTCCTCACAGTCCCCATCACAGGTGCCTGAGGGCTCTTTCCGGTGGCACAAAGACACAGACCTGTGCCCATCCACATCCACAAGCACCTGGGCCAGCTCCCAAGTACCTGTTCTGAGCGGTTCATGCAATTCCGGGCTTCATGCTCCAGGAGGTTCTCCTTCCGGAAGTAACACTTCCCACATTTGGGACATTCGAAGGGTTTCTCCCCAGTGTGCTTCCTGCCAGGAAGAGGAGCCACAGGGATGTGGGAGCTCAGGATTTCCTGGCTCTCCCTCATCCAAGGGGCCCTGTGACTCCCACAGCTGAGGGGCTAAAAAGACCTCCTTTGGGAACATGCAGGGATAGGCCCAGAAGTCCCCTCTAGCACAGACATTGAGACCCACACAGCAGCATGCCAGAAGGGTCAGTGGTATCCCACGGGGCTGGCACATCTCTCTGAAGGCAGAAGCAACCCCTAGGTTATGACCATCTGGAAAAATGGCCTTCCCAGAGCCAGACCCAGGCCACCTCACCACCACCACCACCTGGTGCAACAACAGCAGTGCCTGGGCCCATAGAAGACTCTGCTTGTCCTCCCAGGGCCACATCAGCACCATGGGGACCCTTTAGAGAGAAGCCAGCTGCATCACTCCAGCTCCCAACCCTCCAGTACTTCCTACTTACTGAGAAAAGGCCCAAAAGGGCCTAGGAGGTGAGGTGGCCCACAGGGAGCTGAGGAGCTCTGAGATCCCCCTCTGGCCCCTCAGGTCAGGCTCTTGCCCCTCGCTCCTAGCCCAGGGCAGTCACACTGGCTCTTGTCCCTGCTGGGAACACTTCCTCTAAGTCCTTGCTCAAACCTCTTTCCTAGACCATGACTATTCAAAAGGGCAACCTGACCCTATGAGAACTCCCCAGTCCCTGGGCACCATTGTTTTCCTCTCTCCAATGCACTTCTTATTGCACTGCCAATGGACCTGCTGGGATCTGATGTTGTCATCTCTATTGCCCTGCCAGAAGGTAAACTCCATAGGCATCTCTGCTGGGGCCCCCGATGAGTCCCGGATGCCCCAAGGGTGTCAGCCATCGGGCAGTATGCTGAGTAAATGAACCTCAGAGCCCCTGTGCACAATGGGAAAGCTTGCACACCTGCCAGAGGCTAGGCACTTTTCTCATTCTGTCACTACATTGGCCATCACTATCCCCCACTACCATGACCCCACAAAGTTGACACTTCCCTCCTAGGCTCCCCTCCCAGTTCTCAGGGTCATCTGTCATCCACAGCCCCAGGCAGGGACAGATGGAGAAAGGGCCCTGGGCCAAGTGCCCTGAGCGCCTGGGCAGATCTTGGACAGCCCCAGGATTCCCCCACAGTGGGATGGCCCAAGATTCCGCCAATGTCAGCTGCCCCCAGGACAAGCATGGTGAGGCCACACAGGTCTCACACCCAGGTCCAACTCCAGGCAATCACTCGTGGCTTCCCAGAGCGTCATAGGGAAAACAGGTGTGTGGCACAGCCTGGCTTGGTAAGAAAGTGCCCTGTGATGATCTAGCAATGTTCTGGGCTGGAAGGCGCATTACTGTCCAGGGAAACACATGCTCTGTGATGAGGGAAATGCTCTGCATTGTCCAACTCAGAAGCTGGTAGCCACATGGCTGCTGAGCACAGGAGATGTGGCTAGTGCAGCCGACAAACTGAGTTTAGTTAATTTTACTGCACTTAACTATTTGTTTTGCAGTTGTAGGGGACAGAATGCAGGACCTTCACACTGACCAACATTCCGCATCAGGTCTCTTATTTTATTTTGAGACAGGATTTCACTAAGTCACTAAATTGCCCTGACTGGACTTGAGCTTGTGCTTGACCCAGAATACTGAGATTACAGGCATGAACCACCACCCACCCCTAACTTAATTTCAATTAATTTTAAATTAAAATAGCCACTAGGGACTTCTAGTTAGCTTACTGGATGCTGCAGCTTTAAAAAGCTTTTTTTTTCCACTAAGTTAGGCCTCATCAGACATGGCGGAGTCACGTGTGACTTTATTTACAGCACTGGGGATCACACTCAGGGCTCTCTGAACGTGCTCAGTAAGTGCTTCTCCACCAGGATACACCCTTAGCCCCAACACAAAGTTACGCTTCATTAAGGCCCAGAGCTACCATCCCCTAAAACACAGGTAGCACCAACCCTAAAGAGCAGCATCTCAGCCCAGAGCCCTCACCGGCAGACTTTCGAAATTCCTAAGGTCAGGCCTCAGATCTAGTTCAAGAGCCCACAGGCTTCTCTCATTGCTTTGGCACAAACCAGGTAGGGGTAAAAGTCCACAGTGCTTGGAACCATTGGCAAGGTGTCCACACACCCATCCCCAACCTGAAGACGCACAGTAGGAGGGGGAGGAAGAAAAATCTGGCCAGAAGCAGGCACCCACTGCCTGATAGACAGAAGCCTGGCTCTATGGAGATCTGAGAATACGACCCCTCCCCCAACAAGTAATGGCAAACAGGAAAAGAAAGCAGGACTGCAAGAGTGCTTACCTGTTGTGGACTTTTAGATAGTATTTGCTGAGGAACTTTTTATGGCATGTAGGGCATTCAACAGGCACAGCTGTCCCTTTTCTGTTCTCAGTGGGCTCAGCTGCTAGGGAACCTGAACCCAGGGCTGGCTCGGCAGAATAGGGTTTTCTGTTTATGTTTGACTTCCTCCTGGTCAGCACAGTCTCAGGCTCGGAAACATAATCACCATCCCCGTCGTCCTCAACTTGAACCACCACTTCCCACTACAGCAGAGGAGGCAGCAGGAAGGGGTGGGGTCACCAAATTAATCAGTAGGGACTATGGGGAGCCAGCTTCAGTTCCACCCCCAAGCCCTAAGCCAGGTACTGAGCCCTTTCATCAGGTACTGGTCACTCCAGGACCCAAAAGAACATCTGAATCTTGGACTTGGGGAGGAAGTACTTACAATTATGAGGAACAAGAAGCCTGGCTAGATTTCACTCCCCTAGGGAAACACCTGCAGCCCTGAATCTGCCCACTGTCCCCGAGGAAGCTGGCAACTACAGGCGGCTATGATCACAGGAAGGTCAGCTAAGACCACTGGCTTCCTATGTTTAGAGAAAGTACACTTCACGTAACAAATCACCCCAGAAAAGTATCCACTCCCCCCCTAGTCTTGCCTCCCCAGTTCCAGCACCCTATGCACAGTACCTCATTACTCCCACCCTGCAGCTGGGCACCTTGAGCCTCAAAGGGCCTCAGGGGCACTTTGCAGTCCTCTGGCTCCCTGTCCTCTGGGGGACAAGGCTTCACAGCCTGCTTGAGTTTCCCACGGAGGAAGGAGGGGCTCTCAGTCTGAGCAGGGGGACTGAGCTGGGGCCTGTGGGAGGTGTGACTGTCTCTGGGGTCCTGTTCCCTGAGAACCAGGCCCAGAGTCCTCGAACACTCCTCTTCTTCCAAGTCTGTCGACTCCTTGAGGTGGATGCTCACATCCTGAGAGGCAGGTTTCCCCAGCCCACTCTGGCCGCTTGCTGCCTGTGCCACTGAGGTTTTGGGCTGGAAGCTCTGGCACAGCTCCACAGCCTCAGGTACTCGCAACTCTCTGGCTGCAAGGAGCACCTGATCCCGGTTCCCTGAGGTAAGGGCAAGGTGACCAGTGTAGAAAAAGTCCAGAAGGAGGCCAAAGATCTCAGCGAAACCAGCCGGAAGGACAACGTTGCCCCCTGAGCCGTCCCCATAGAGGCTCTGGAAGAAGTGACTGCAGCAGGCGAGGACGCTCCAGTGGGCCTTGAACACCAGGCCCCCCACGTCCAGGGTGGCGTCGCAATACTGCCCCTTCTCCCGCTGCTTGTTGAGCTCCTGCAGAACCTTCACACTGTGCTGGACAAAGGAGCCGTCCATGGCCTGGAGAAGAGGAAGGCAGAAGTGACACCCTGGACAGCCCAACACAGTAAGCAAGAGAAAGATCCTGGACTCCAGGAAGGAGAAAGGTGAGGTGAAACGCGCTACTCAATCATACTAATCGGAAAGAGGGCTTGGGTCAAGGTTAAAGCGCGCAGGGGGAGGGCAAGGACGGACCGCCGGCCTCCTCCCGGGGCCGGGCACAGTGGATTGGCCGGGCAGAAGATGGTGCGGAAAGGGAGGGATGGCGGGGTCAGGACGGGATCGGGAAGAGGTGCTGGTGGGAAGAATCAAAGGTGGGAAAAGGAGGCGGGGATGGGTGCGAAACGATCTGCAGGGCACAGCCACGGAGCCCTGCGTGGGGAGGGCGGCGGCCACGCGCAGGTGAGCGGAACCCACGCCGCGCCCACAGACCGCGAGCCGCCGGCCTAAGGCGACCGTGGCCACACTCCCGTCAGTCGCTTCAACAACCCACAGCCCCACTCCTGCACCCTGTTCCCGCCTCACCAGAGCCGCTATTCCCTGACTGGCCACGGCCGGGTCCCTGCCAAAACCTACCGACCAAACTACCCTGGCACTACGTGCCCAGCCTACGTGCGGAGACGCTGCCGTCGCCGCGCCGGAAGTGACGTTAAGGCGCGCCGGCCGGCGACAGCATCTCGGAAGCGTAAGGTTTGTAGTACCGCCACTAGAGGCGGGGCCCTATAGAATAGCCAATGGGATTCAGAAGAGGTGGAGCCAAATTCACTTCCGCCGCGGTGGGCCCGCGTTCCGGAGTTGCCTAGCAACGCCAAACTAGGCTAGGCAAAGTCTGATCTCTCAATTCCGGCTAGAAGTGAAACTGCACCCTCCCCGAAGATGAGACGCAGACACAGTTTTCTCCTCTTTATTGGCAGCCCGGATCCTGGGCTGAACTTTCTCGAGCGTTTACACATCACAAGCCAGGACTGAGATTCCTGCAGGCCCTACACAGCTGGACCTCCAGCCTACCAGGCCGAAGAGGATTACAGTCTGCCCTGCCCCGTTGGCCCTGCCTGTCCCCCAGCTCAGGTGGAGCCGCAGCGCCTCGAGTACTCTTGGATGGAGGCCTGGAAGTGCTCCGTGTTGTTGAGGTCTTGGCGGCAGAGGATCACATAGCACTTTGGGAGGAAATAGCCGCTGAAGCCGCCACTCAGGCTGGTCAGTGCGGCCAGCACATTGATCACGGACAGGTACGGGCCCTGGTAGATGCTGGCCATGGTGCAGAAGGTGATCCAGGATACGAAGTTGAGGAGCAGGCTGAAGGTGACACATTTGGCCTCGTTGTAGTTCTCTGGCAGGTCCTTGCCCAGGTAGCTGCAGGCAAAGGCGCTGACTGAGAGGAGGCCGTTGTAGGTGAATGCCAACAGGAAACCGGGTGAGATGGCCTCTGTACACTCCAGCACCACCAGCTGGGGGAAGCGCCGGTACTCCCTGGTGGGCAGTGGCGTCCACCTCACAAGCCAGGTTAGGCAGATGAGCAGCTGGGCCATTGAGCTGAGCGTCACAAACAGGCCGGGCCCATGGTTTCGGACCCAGGCATGGTAGGACGTGGGCACCTTGGTGGCAAACTTGAAGATGATGACCAGTTGGAAGGAGCGAATTGTCAGGCAGGACAGGAAGATGGTGAAACCAAGGAAAAAGAGGGCTTGGCGCAGCAGGCACGTGGGCAGTGTGGGCTCCCCAAAGAAGCCATAGAGACTGCAGCTGCCCCCTGCCAGGGACCCCAGCATGAGGAAGCACAGCCTTCCCCCAGCCGACCTAACCACAGGGGTGTCTAGGTGCCAGGCAAACAGGCCAGCCGTGCCTACCAGCAGCAGCAGCAACAGTGTATTAACTGCCAACAGCACCCAAGAGATGGGCTCATGCCAAGTCAGAACCACCACTGTGCGTGGGAAGCAGGTATGGCTGGCCTCAGGTGACCACTCTTCTCTTCCACAAGGCTGGCAGTTGTAGAGGTCTGAAAGGAATAGCAGAGAAGGTTCTTAAGGGCCAGCAGGGCAGAGTTGCATTAGGGAAGGATGGCAGTGCAGACCGGCTAATGCCGGAAGAGTTGTACCAAGCAGCTTGGCCTGCTGGGTATAATGAGAGTGACGGAGTGGAGGCCAGGGGTTTTCTTGATTGTCTGTATTAATTACAGACTCTGAAGACACAAAGGGAGGCTCTATGTGGCTCATGATCCCCAAAAGCGTTTGCAAAGGAGGGCTTTACATTGGTGTCTCCAGCCAGCCGCAAAGGAAGGGCATTTGCATCCTGTACTCTGGTTGCCCCTAGAGTCTGACTTTGGGCCAAGCCCTAAGCTACCTGATTTGTCCTCTGGTCTCTACCTTTCGTCGCTGGGTGGGACACTGGACAGTTTCTGCTGCAGACATGCTACCAGCCAAGCCGCTCAGGTGCTGGCTGTCAGGTAACAGAAGGGTCTTAATAGATGAATGAGAGAGTATCAAGGGAACAATAGTTGGAGAAAGAGGTTGAATTCAGAATGAGATGCCCCTGCAGGAGTTGTGACAGGACATAGTAGAGGGCACACCTTAGTCTGTGGCTTTCAGTGCGTTGTTTCCGCCCACTTGGTTGGAATGCAGTCTGATGACAGGACCCCTCCAAGCTGTGCGTCACTGGCAGCCCAGTGACTTGGGCCCTGGTTCTGTGGCCCGTATCCACCCATGGGGCCTGAGCAAGGTCCTACACCCGCTGTGCAGACATGAAGAGTGCGGATCAGGCACTCACTCACCACTCTTATTGAGGAAGGTCCCAGCCTCGCAGGGGACGCACTCGAAGCAGCAGTGGTAGAAGCCCACCACCACGCGATGGTGCCCTTCAGCACAGTCTCTGGTGCACACAGACGTGGGCACCTGTAAGAAGGCACCTGTAAAAAGCCTGTGTTCTGCCACCACGGGAGGCTTCCAAGCCAAGGGACAGCTCTCAGGTCCTCTTCCCACTCTGGGAAGCCTCACTCCCGTGATCCCCTGTCTTCTGGCAGCCACCTGGCGAGTGACCTTGTCCCCATTACCTGGTTGTCCTTTCCGTGCCACTGAATATTGGTCTTGTTTATGTCCAGCTGAACAGGAGGCCATATGGAGGTGCCGACAACCCTGAAGGTCCATGTGGGCCCGCTCCAGTCCCAGGCAATGATGTCATAGCCACTGAGGGGGTCTCCATTCTTATCAAACGCCACAGTGACCCCGTGCAGAAGGAAATTCACCTTGTAGATCTGCTCCAGAAGCTGAAACAAACAAGCATCCTGAATTCACCACAGGCCATACCAAACAGATATTCTAGAAAGAGAGGCCCCTTCCTCAGAGCCCCCTCCCCTTGGAGGAAGCCCCAACCCTCCTGACCAGCCTCCTAAAAGAAAGCCTCTAGCAAAGTACACTTTTGTTTATTTGCTTTGTTTTTGAGACAGGGTCTCGCTATGTAGTTCAGGATGGTCTTCAACTCAGTATGTGGCTCAGGCTAGCTTTGAACTTGTAGTGATCCTCCTGCCTCAGCCTCCCACAAGCTAGGATTACAGGTGTGCCCCACCACAACCTGCTTCAAAGGACCTTTTTGCAGAGATGCTTTTCTAGCCCTTCTCATTTCTGTGATTTAGTCGTTGAGGGAATCAAGGTTCAGAGAGGAGACCAGCCCTCCAGCCATGGCCCTGAGGGCAGTGGGGAGTGCCCGCTCTGCGTGTCTCAGGATTGGATGTTCTCTCTGATGCAGAGGTCTGGGGCTCTCTTACCTGCCAGGGGTAGACTTGGCCCTTGGAACAGGAGCCAGAGACACAGCCCAGGAGCTGATGAAGGCCATGGGCCACAGCATACACGGCCTGGTACACATTGTAGGCAGAACTCATTGAGAAGGCCCCAAGTGTGGGCATCGTGTGTGCTGTGAAGGCCTGGCACTCTCTGCAGAGCTGATTGCTGCTGCACCAGGAGCCCTTGGAGCAAGGACTGGGTGCCCCCTTGTGTGCCCGGGCATAGGCCTCTTCAAACTCCTCCAGGCCAGGGACAAGTCTCTGCTGGATGGACACCCCCAGCACCATGCCAATGCCCTGGATTCCGGACATTTTACTGATATATGTGGAAATGGCCCAGTCTTCAGAGGCGATCCACACCTTTCCAGTCAGGTTGGCCAGCATCACGGAGCTGAAGAACACTTTGGCCGGCTGCCGGCTGGAAAACACCACCACCACGGTGGTCCTGGCCTGGGCCAGGCCATGCATCATGCCCCGCATCTCCTTGTCGTCCACCTGGGCAGACAAAGGCACGATGCCCTTGTAGGCAATGCAGATGCCCCGCTGCGTGGCCAGGTCATCCAGCGCCTGCACTCCCAGCTCCCCGTAGTCACCGGAGCTGCCAACCAGAGAGATCCAGACCCACCCGAACTCCTGCAGCAGTAGCACTATGGTCTCCACCTGGTAACTGTCGCTGGGGATGGTCCTCAGGAAAGAGGGGTACAGATGTTTTGCGCTGAGTATCATGCTGCTGGCCTCATAGCTGATCTGTGGAGCCCCATTCAGAAAGATCAGAAGTGGAAGCTGCGACTGGAGGCCCCCCAGTGCCCGGCCCTGTGCTGGGTGTGGGGACCCAGGGAGGACGGAGACCAGGAGAGCTAGCCTGACACAGGAGACCAGAAATGCACAGGCTGCTTGCAGAGGGTAACCCTAGCGGGTTGTGGGGATCGGGATCGGCATGGCAGACATGGTGAAGAGGTAGACACATCAGGGTTCCCATACTGTCAGAGAGGGAGTGAGATATGGTCGTGTGTTTGGGGACTGACAGAGGCTTCTGCTTGGCACAAGGGCCTCTGCCTGAGCAGGGCATGGAGAAGGCCTTGATTCCCAAGCTGAGGGACTCCTTCTGCATCCTGTAGGCCACAGGGAGTGTAGGGGTTGTACAGCAAGTAGTGGTCCTTGCAGACTTAGGGTTAGGGTTTGGGGAGTGCATCTCTCACTTCCTTGAGGAACATGGTGGAAAGTGCTGAGGAGCCCTCCTGACGCTGGTGGCTCACTCAGATGGGGGTGATTGGCAGGGTGGGGGCCACAGCAGAAAGGAGAGTGATGGAGAGACAAATGAAAGCTGGGCAGTGGAGAAGAGGGGGTGGGCCTTGGGCACTGAGGAGGAAGGAGGAGCAACCTTGGCAACAGAGGCAAGGTGGGAGAAAAGGGAGCTGGGGCATGGCCAGGTGGGGCTACTGTGTTTCCCACCTGAATGGAGAGGGGACACCAGCCACCAGCTGGGCAGGGGGTGGGGGCTACGGGAGGACAGCACCCCCTGCAGGACAGGAGGTTCAGTGTGGTGAAAGCACCGCCTGCCTGGAAGGAGAAGCCTGTGTCTCCCAGCATAAAACCAAGAGGCCTAAGAGGTTACAAGTCAAATAAAAGAAGCTGGGCATGGTGGTGTGGATCTGTCATCCCAGCATTCTGAGAGGCTGAAGCAGGAGGATGTAACATTTGAGCCCAGCCTGAGCAACTGAACACGTTCAGGAGACTCTATCTCAAAAGGTGGAGGGTGTGGTAATGGGATGTAGCTCAGTGGAAAAGCCCTGGGTTCAACCCCCAGTACAGAAAGAGGGGTCGGGGATTTAGCTCAGTGGTTCTGCTGCCTGCCTTGCAAGCCCAAGGACCCGAGTTTGATACCCAGTACCAAAAAAAAGAAAGAAGTCATCTACTAGAGACAGCTTAGAAAGTGCTCACTGGATTTGGAAGTCTGGAAGGTGCTGTAGCTCATGGCAGGAACAAGGGTGTTGGGGACAGAACTGGGAGCCACACCAGCTGAGGAACAGATGAGAGGGGCCCTTAGGAAGCCGGCCTGGAAAGATGGATGTCATGGGAGTGGAGAGGCCCAGGGACTCTGAGGAAGAGGAGGAAGAGAGGGGCCTGGACTGAAGAGGCCAGGTCCATGGGGTGGGAAGCAAGGGTGTCGGTTGTTTACAGAAACATAGAGGGTGGGGCGGGGCAGGGGGTCCCCAGGAGGGTGGATACAGGGAGCTGGAAGTCCTCCTTGGAGAAGGAAGGAAGGCAGGCAGGTCGGAGCTGGGACTCCTACAAGGGGATGAAAGAGCAGTCTTCCCAGTGGCCAGCTGACTAGACCAGCTTTAGAAGGGACAGCCCAGCCCAGGCTCCAGCTTACCAGGGGCACCAGGAAGGGACTCAGCAGGGCGGCGGCAATGCCCGCCTCGTCGGTGCTGTCCGGCCCGATGACCGCCAATGCCTTGGGAGAGTACTGGTACAGGTTTCTCTGCATCTCCACATGGTGTGTCCCCTGCCGGGACAGCATGCGCAGCACTGCATATACGGTGGCGGACTCAGAGCACACATCGTGGAGCTCGTAGCCCAGGGTGACATTGGGCAGCAGGGTCGTGGAGTTGTTTATCCGCTCCACGCCAAGCCGCATGGCCTGGAAAAGGTGGTAGCCGTGGCCATTGAAGCTGTTAGCCCTGTGGGGAGAGCCCGGCAAGAGTGAGGGGTCCGGGCGTCCCCAGGTCCCCTGCCTGGGCTTAGAGCACCAGGCCCTCATCACAGGTCCCAAAGCCACACACAGTCCTGGGAGGTGCTAACAGGCCTGGAGGAGCCAGGCACAAGTTGGAGAAATGCTACTTCCCATGCTCCTCTTGTACAAGCACAGTGGGCTCAAAAGGCCACAGAAGTCCTGTAGGGGGCGTGGTGGTGCACTCCTGTAATCCCAGAACTCAGGAGGCTGAGGCAGGAGGATTGCTGAGTTCAAGGCCACTCAACTACATAGTGAGACCCTGTGTCAGAAAAACAAAACCAACAATAACAACAAAAGAGAGAAATCCTGTAGCAAGAATCGTACATTAGGATTCTCCAAACAGAACCAGCAGGACATGGATGGGTGGATACAGAGACAGACAGACATTTAAGGACCAGGCTCACAGGATAACCCACAGTTTGCCGGATGACCTAGCAGGCAGGACACTCTGGCAAATGTTGATGTCTCAGTCTTGAGTCCAAAGTCAGAAATCCCCTCCATCCCAGGACCTCTGTCTTTGTCTGGCTTCTTCAACTGATCGGGCGAAGCCTACCACCTGTGGCAGGCCGGTCACCTGCATTTGGCAGTGTATCAGCAGAGAACACAGGATGATCCCTTCTACATCACACCTTCACAGCAACACGGGGACGGTGGCCAACAAGGCCACTCTGGGTGCCACCCGTGACACCACTTTCAACGGTGCTGCTCACAGGAGTGGCTGGGAACACGCCAAAGGCCTGCATTTCTTGTCACCCCTACTGTGTGTCCTGACAGGGATGTGCTGGTGACACATGGTCTCCAGCCTCTCCGTTTCCAGTGCTCCTGTCCCAAGTTGCTCAGAGGAGGCTGTGCCCTTCTGTTATCTGGGGCTGCTTTTCTCATGATCCCCACACCACCCCCTTTTTCTTTCCCCAGGCTCTCATCCATCAGGCTCTCCCATCCTCCTCAGTCAGGTGCGTGGCATGTGCTGGGCAGACAGTCTCCTAGCCCGATGGCATTCTGAGCCTCCAGGCTTGACACTGTCCATGGCCAATGAATTCTTTAAAAGAAAACCAGAGCCAAGAGTGGAGGCATACATTTATAATGCAGCACTCGGGAGGCTGAGGCAGGAGGGTGGCAAGTTCAAGCCCTGTTTGGGCAAAAGAGAGTTAGCAAGGCCCTGTCTCAAAAAATAAAGGACTGAGGATGGAGCTCAGTGCAAAGGCTCTGGGAAGGCCCTGGGTTCAATCCTCAATACAACAACAACGAGAAGCAGTGGGTTTGCTCTGTCTTGATCTCTGACTTCCACACAATGCCTCTGCTAAACTCCAAATTGTCTCCCTCCCTACCCAATGAGAACCACTCTTGCCACTTGGTAGACAAGCCAGGCCTCGTCTAGGATGGAGTTATGACAACACACACTAATGCCAGGGACGGCAGTCCTGCGTCGCAACATGGCGCTGGGGGAAATGTCCCGAGTCTGGCCAGCCCTCAAAAGTGGCAACTGTAGGGGTCGGGGATGTAGCTCAGTGGTGCTGCCACCTGCCTCGCAAGGGCAAGGTCGATACCAGAAAAAAAAAAGTGGCAACTGTGGCTGGATGTTGAGGGTTGGCACAGTAACTCAAAGGGTAGCAGAGAAGCAGGCAGGGGTCCTGCAGCCACAGATCCCATGAAGCCACTACATGGTCCCTCACTCACCTGTCACAGAGGGTCACCTGGGGGCTGCACCGCACCTGCAGACAGTCACCATGCAGGGAAAACAGGCCTGCAAGGAGGTAATCCCCCGGGAGAGTAAAGTCGGGTGAAGAGGCTGTTTCATGGCAGCCAAGAGCCCAGCAGCAGGTCAGGGCCAGCTGCACATGGACCAGGTGAATTGGCTGGATCAACATGGTGTCCAGATGCCCCCGTGCCCAGCATGGCCAACTGGCGCCTCTGACATGGGTGGACGGCAGCTGCCCAGTTTAGTGGCCCTGAAAGGGGCGGGACTGGGGTCTGGCTGTGGAGAGTGGGCTGTTTCTCTTGGCCTTCCGGCCTGCAGTCCAGCTCAGGAACTGGGCAGGGCCAGGGCAGGGATGCAAAGCAGGCAGCGCCCAGACCCCTCCTCTGAGCAGTTGTGGGTTCTGCCCTCACTCTGGTACCTTGGCTTCACCTGGCTCAAGAACAGAGGTGGAGGCCAGGACACAACCTGCCTAGGCACTTGCAAGGGACAGTGTGAGTTGCTCTCAGGGACCTGCCCCATGATTTTATTTTTGTCTTTGTTTGAGACAGGGTCTCACTATTAGCCCAGACTACCCTAGAACTCAAAGTGATCCTCCTGCCTCATCCTCCCAAGTGCTGGGATTATAGACATACAGCATCCTGTGAGACAGGGTATTGGTACATTGCTCAGACTGGCCTTGAACGTTCTGGGCCTAAACAGTCTTCCTGGCTTTACCTTCCCAGTAACTGGGATAACAAGTGCTGTCCACTGTGCCCCGCACGCTGCAGGTTTTAGAACCCTTTATCTTGGCCTCAGTTTACTGAATGAGACATGGGCTGAGGTGACATATCTATAACCCAGTCCTCAGTTTCCTGACACTGAAATATTGAGTGAATCATGGATTAGTGTTGTTACCCAAGATTGCTCCCTTCAGGTCAAAGACAAATCCATGCAAACTCAAGGAATGCAAATAATCTGATTTTGTTTAAAATAGTAATCCTGGGTTGTCTTCTGCAGGGGAAAAAAGACCCAGGTGGATTTCCGGAGAGGTGATCCCGTGGCTGGACGCGGAGATTTGGGCTTTCGCTATGCAGCCGCCCCAGGTAGGGACTTTTGCATAATGTAAATGGGGTTCTAGGTGCGCCAGCAGTTTCTCAGGTCAGCAGAGCCTCTAGTGCACTTCCGGAGGTCGCCGGCAGAGGGAGCTAGCTGCCCTGCGGCTGCTCGTACGGGGAACCCTACCCGAGCGGCGCGATCGACGAGATCTCGCGAGATTGTTGCGGGGCAGAAGCTGGCGGCCAGGCATGGAGGACGCTGTGTCTCCGGTTCGGCGGAGTCCCGGCCGCACCACGTGGGTGCGGGCCCGCAAGGCCCGGCCC